TCACAGCCATCCCGTGTCCCTAGCCAGCATCAAATCTCCAGGCCTACCCTTACGATCAACATCCGCCAACCCAACCCACGGGTTGCTAAAGGCAAAGCCAGAAATACGTCCGCACGACAAACACCAACACCAACGTAAAAGTCATATCCGCAAACCCTCCAGCATCTCTACACATTCGCAAAGGAGTATTAAAGGGACTCCTATAACTCCAAACAGTAATACAAACCCAATCATCAGACGCCCATTGAGTGTCTCTTTCGTCAACTTTACCCCTGAGGATAGCCAAAAACTCTTGACCGGCGTGGCACCAAGCGGAAGCTCAAAGACCAAAGCACGGAGAGAGCAGGAAGCACGCGAAAAAAGACGGAAACTCAGTGAGGCAGCTTTGCTTGCGGTTAAAAGAGCTGGTGGTGATGTTGAAGCGTTCGAGGCAGTTTTCTGCTGAAAATTGCCGGGAAAGCAAATGATGCTGCCCAGCCGCTACTCTCACCAACCTTTAACGTATAAGTATAATGATTATGTGCACATGAAGACTAAGATGGAGACGAAATAGTTTATATCATAGAAGGGTGAAAATATTTGTTTGTATTATTTTGCTATCGCTTTACCTTTAGTTGTGATCTATTGCTTGTCAATTGTTGTTTCTGCTTATCTGGTTGGTTGTTATTTTGGTGTTTGTTGGGCAAGTACAACAGTACATTTGATGTTGCTGATACAAGGACCCCACGGCGTTTTATAATATCCCTTATTCACCTTCCCCGTCTCCCCAACAGTTGCTGACTTGTTTGAATCCTCGCTACCTGCGAAAGCATTATTATTATGTAGGTTTTTTTTTTTTTTTTTTTTTTTTTTTTTTTGAAACCCAGGTTAATAATATCTACAGTCTCCAACTGCGCAATTTGACAAATTAATATGGGAGCCAACATCCATATAAAATATGAAAACCAAGTCAGCCAAGTCAGCCAACAACCAACTCAATCAATAGTTATAGCTATTATCAATTGGTCTCCCCTCTTTCGTCCACCTATCCCCTTCCCTCTCACGCCCTTCTCTTAAATGTTGCATAAGCCCATGCACCATTGAAACAAACAACCATACTTGTAACCATATGTAACGACGTAATGTAAGTTGGGAAAACACCCACGACACGACACGAGGTTGGAACACATAGCTCATAAATATCCCGATACATATAGCGCACTTCCCTCGCTTCCCTTCCCATTCCCAAGACGTACTGCGACCTTGAGCAGTGAGGTGTGCAGGACGTGATATTATGTAGATGCGTAGATCATGCAGTGACATATAGTTCGAGCATTCGGTGCCCAACCGGCACATCCCTGTCGGGAAATGGAGAGTGAGTATCTGTTGGTACTAATGTGTTATATGTGCATTTGTTATTGGCATTGTTCACTGTTGCGTTTACCGCCTTTATATCTCAAGCATAGAGTCAATTGGGGAATACATTGTAGAAATTTATAGGCGAAGCGGAGAATATAATAAGCACCTTTAAATCATTTAAAATGTGCATATAAAATGACCAAAGCATGCGTATATGATTCATCCCCTCCGCACATCGATTTAGAGCACTAAAATTTGATAATGCATATATGTATCCCGCACTGCGACGAATTGATATGTCACATAAGAACTGGAATTATTGACATAGTTGAGTAATATCAGTTGTTAGGAGAGAGCATTGAAGACTAAAGTAATTAATGATTTTGATAATATGGGTATCAGTAACGTACAGTATATCGAGGTTTTTTTTAAAGTGGATGCCCAAGTTGAAAGAGGAGATATTCTCTCAGGGCTGATGCCATAGTTTTTATGCCGGTCAAATCGTCAGAGAACGATGACCCATCTATCAGCATTGAAAATATGTGCATGTTGGTCGAATTTGACTCATTCCTTTCAATACCCTACCCCTGTTGCCTCGCAAGCCCCTTTTGTTTTTTTTTTTTGTTTTTATTTTTTTTTCACTTTACATATGCATTTCTGAAAATTGCCACCCAATGTAATGTACACGTACGATCCAAAGATTCTAACTGGAAGGTGGCTGCCTGATTTTATCCAAAACTTCAGGCACCCGCAGGTTGTCCGAATCGTTGGTGGGGCTCAATGTAAGTTTTTGGTTTGCAGATTGGAGAAGGGTTGTATTTCGAAAGATCGCTGCTTCAGCCCAACCGTCCGCTCAGTTTATCTGCCCTTCGGAGCTGGTTTCCACGATTCAGGTTGCCATCCCTCGCTTGGCCCGCCAGTGTTTCGGACCCAGGGAGATTTAGTCTTTTTGCCTTGGACTTTGAGCTCCGGCTCTTCATCACCTAACGATTTGTCAGGCTGTGCGGCGGGTGGAGGATGTAGCTCATGAGAGGATTGTATTGCTGGATCCGGGTGCTGCCCCTGTGGCCTGTCGAGAAATGATGGCTTGCTAGCCCATCGCTCATCTGCAAGTTTGGCAAGATGTTTAATGCGCTCCTGCCGGAGAAGTTCGTTTTGTTGTTCCTGTATGGTTGGGGCATCCTGGCGAGCGTATCGAAGCCACTGGTGCCATTGCGCTACGGATGCCATTATTGTTAGCGGTAGATCCGTCGGAGATATATGGATTTCTGGATCTGCAATGTTGACTCCAGGTTTGCGGCGGCTGACTTACGAGAAACCTGTACGTCGGCAAGGTGTGTCTTGGGGTTGTATTTGACAATGCGCCGGAGCCGCCTGGAATTGAGAGTGTCCTTAAATTCCCAGAAAGTGTTTCCAGCTAAGTCCTTTCCTGTATCGTTTTAGAAGAGTTCATCGTATTTCAACAGAAGAGTCAAAAAGCTATCTGGTATCTGTGGCCGGTTTTTGGCCCACAACTTACCTGCGAGAAAGGTTTTGCGCCAGGGAAGTTTCAGACTTTTCCACTTGAACCAAAGGCTGTTTATTGGGCTCATATTTATGGCCCATGCAAAACATAATACGTTTTCTAGCCCGAGAGCGCCCCTATCGACGACCCCTGTATTATTATCGTGACATGGTTGTAAAGGGAACGATGGGTTTTCGGAGGCCTTTTCTCGTTTCGCGACAAATTTAGCGCGTTCTGATTGCTTAGTTATTTCTTGTCGTCATTCATCCTTCCCTTATCTCAACCCCTCAACAACGCGCACCCTTTCGCATTAATGGACCAGCACGCGAATGCCCAGTGCACAAAATATAACCAGTTTCGTGTAATTTACAAATATTCTCCTTCTGCTTCATCTGATTTAATCTTGAATAGCGCAAATTTGTACCGCCTGGATGTCTGTGCTTCAGGATCACTCTCCTTAGGTTTCAAATCCTCTCGCACAGAACCTGATCGACCCGCCCGCTTACTGTTTCGACATTCTTCCACGCCACGGAAACCCCCATATTTCATCATGGCATCCGTTTCATCGTTAGATAAAGACCTTCGGAATTTGCGGCTCTCCCGATATACGCCGCAGGCAGCCAATGAAATCCGGGAGTGGATTGAGGAGGTACTCCATGAGAAGCTGCCCAGTGGGGATCTATTAGAATTGTTGAAGAGTGGAGTAATTCTTTGTCGGTAAGTTGGCTATACATATCCGAATTTGCTGCATGGTTCAAGTGGGCTTTTGTATTGACAAAACTCCCTGAGACTGGTTAATCTCGCCGTTTCCCCGGGTGTCAAGTACAGAGATTCAACAATGCCCTTCGTCCAAATGGAAAACATATCGCATTTCCTCCGCGCATGTCAAGTCGCGCCTCTGAATCTCCAACCGCATGATGTATTTCTTACTGTCGATCTCTACGAATCGAAAGATCCTGCGCAGGTACTACAATGTATCCGCTCCTTTAGTAGGAGCGCCAACGCACTTCAGCCGGGGAAATTTCCGCGAGCGATTGGCATTAAGAGTAAGAGCGACGCAATGAGCCCTCAACTTACTGGATCTAGCCAGGGCGCTGGCCTTGGGCCACCTTCTTACGCTCGAGTTAGAGGCGCTAGTAACGCTAGCGAATCCCACTCGGCGACGTTTAGCACCATTGGAAAGGCTCCAACATCTGGACGAAGCAGCCCTTCGAAAGTCTCCTCCAATCCCACATCACCCAAACCTGCCATTAGTGCCTGGACCAATAAACAAGAAGAAAACACGACCATACCAGCGTGGAATATACACCAATATGGATACATGGGAGGCGCAAATCAGGGCAACCTTGGAATATCATTTGGTGCTAGACGGCAAATCACAAGCCCCATGCCAGATGTACCTAACCTAGCGGAGAAAGAGAGGAAGAGGCGAGAAAGAGAGGCTGAAGAAGAAAAGTTAAGGTTGCAGCGAGAAGACCAAGAGCGCCGACAACGGGCAGAGATGGAGGAAGAAAGGCGCGCCATCGCTGAAGAGGAACGCAGATGGCAGGAGGAAACGCTACGACTGAGAGAGAAAGAACGGAAGGAAGCGGAAGAAGAGAAGAATCGATGGGCAGAGCAGCAGCGCAGATGGGAGGAAGAGGAGCGTCGTCGAAACCTTGAGGAGAAGGAAGCGGAAGAACGCCTGGAAAAGGAACGACTAAGGAAAAAGGAATTAAGTAACGCGCGGCTGAATGGCCAATTTCTAAGCCAGTATCAAGCGTCTCAGGGCAAGGCATCCGTTCCTGCATCTAGTGAAAAGTGAACGGCATAAAAAGATCTTCGAGCGGCAACTTCGTACTTTGCCCAAGGAAAAGAGAGCGTTGAGTACCAACCCGCGAGCGAGAAGGAAACTTTTCTTCCGTTCGGGAAAGTGGTCCCGCCTCAAGGTGGGGGGGTGGAAATTCCCGGAAAAAAATCTCATTCCCCC